CCAATGCTGGCTGTATCCTTGAACACACAGAGATCTACCTAGCTCTGCCTACCAAGTGCTGGGATTAAAGGCATGCACCACCAATGCCCAGATTTTGCTACGGCTCTAATAACTCTGACCCCTGGGCAACTTTATTTATTAACATACAATTAAAATCACATTTCAGTACAAATAAAATACCACCATAAAAGAAAGAAAGGAGGGAGGGAGGGAGGGAGGGAGGGTAGGAAGGAGGGAAGGAGGGAGGGAGGGGAAAGAAAAGCAAACTAGAGCACTCAACAGCAGAATCCAGCTAGGAAGCTTTCTTCCCAGCAGTGCAGAAGCCTGGCTGGAATGGGAAGGAGGCAGAGGGCAATGCTGCCATTCTTAGGATAAAGGGAGCTAAGAGGGACCCACAGTAATGAGCTATTTACAGAAGAGGACAGACAGCCTTGGGGCGTGTGGACTAGGTGGGTAAGGAAGAAGGACTCTAGCATGACTCTCAGATGCCTGACTTGGTCCAGCTGTGAATGGGTATAATAAGCGAGGTGGGAAAACAAAAAAGTGAACACATCTCTAAAGATCACATTTATTAAGGGGGATGGGCTCATACACCATGCACCTGTAGAGTTGAGAAGACAAACCTGTGAAGCTGGTTCTCTTTTTCTCACCTTTAGGTAGGTTTGGGGTTGTCAAGATTTCAGAGCAAATACTTTAGCCAGCTCAGCCAGCTCAGCAGTCTTTGTTTGTTTGTTTGTTTGTTTCAGTGCTGGGGACTGAACCGGGGTCTCCTGAAAGCTAGGTAAGCACTCTACCACTGTGCTACATGCCCAGTTCTCTTTTTACTTTTTACTTTGAGACAATGTCTTACTGAGTCACCCAGGCTGGTCTTATTAAGCCCAGGATAGACTCAAACTCCTTCTGCCTCCCACAAACCTGGGATAACAAGCCTGTGCCACCAGATCCAGAATCCATTTTGGTTTTAGCATGGAAAGATTGAAGTGCCACGGGATTTCAGGAGAGGTCTAGGTACCAAGTGCCAATGTGACTGTTAAATACATGTAGCTTGAAGTCACAGGCCTCGGTGAGGTTTTCCCAGGGAGGGAAAGGATTCCCATGAATGCCAATACACAGGACGAATGGAGAGAAAAGAGCCAGACGCTGACTAGGTGAGGGCAGAGGGGCGTGAAAAGATGGGGAAATCTGTTATTAAGGACAAAAAGAGGGTCTAGTTCTAAATAAGGAGCTGAGTGATTTGGGTCCCTGAGGAATCCCTGTTGGACATATATGGGTGTCCAGAGCTGAGCACAGTGGCCCTCAAATAGAAGAGGAATGGGGGGAGCAGTTTGTTCTTCTTGGAGGACAGTGAGGAGGCAGAGGTGTGAGTGGATTTTACAGGGTGACAAATGGGAGGGAAGTAGAGTCAGCTGCTCAGATTCTCTGTGAACAGGCCTGAAGCACCAGGGTTGGGGAACAGGGTGAGGCCGGTGTGGCCAGGTCTACAGGCCCATGAGCTGGAGAATCTAGGCTGGGCTTCCCCAGCAGGTGCTGGAGGGGTAGGCAGGGCATTTGAGAATTTTCAGCAGAGGTGGAGTAAGAGATGACAGAGCCTCTCCCTGAGACACCTGGAGGATGAGACTGGTAAGGGCCAAGGGAACCGAACCAAGATGACCTCAGGAGCAGGCAGGGAAGGGCTGAGCCAGATGGAGAGAGTATGGTCAGACCCTGGAGGCAAAGTGCACACCCCAATGGCCTGTCCCCATGGAGCCCTGGGATTCCTAGGGCTCATTGGCATCTTCTTGGAGGTGCAGCACTTAGGGAAGATTTCCGGCCCTCAGCTACCGCCCACTCCCAGTGTGTCCATTCTTTCCAAGGAATGGGCACAGAGCCTAGCATAGCAGGAGCCACCTCTCCATGGCCACCTGCCTCAGCCAGAAGGGAATTCATAACCAGGAGTCCCTATCCCCAGGTCTCATAGCTGAGCCCTGGGCAGCTCTCTTACACCAGTCAGCCAAGACCACAAGACCTGGGACACAGGACTCCTGGTCACGAGCATCCTTCAGTGTGAGGGAATGGGGCTATGACTACAGCAGCCTGGACTCCAGCCGGGGGGACCACAGGGCTGGGGACAGGGGGTAAAGTTGAGGATTAGAAGCTCAAGAGAGGTGAGACCAGACAGGACAAGGCTGTAAGGACGGGACAGAGACTGGGAGGCTAGCTAAGGGCTGAGACTGCATTGGTGAGAGAAGAGGATCCTTAGTTAAACCACTGGCCCTGGTGCATTATGAGGCCGGTGAGGAGAAGGCTGGGTTTAGAAAACCGTCATGAGATTCCTGTCATACCCTGAGGCAACCAGTCTGCTAGTTCTGAGCCCAGCTGCTTCTTCCTTTCTTCCCCAGCTCTAGCGGGGAGTAGCATTAGCCATTCATTCTGTTTCCACAAGAAAGTGCCCAACCGCACAGAGAGCCAAGGCTCCTGGCATCAGTCCCCCAACACTGGAGCAGCACCCCATCTGGGGTAGGTGGGAGGAAGATCAGGCCCAAGGTGCTTGAAACCCCAGGAGGAGCCATGGCTGTGCTCAGGGAGACGGGGCTTGCTGTCCAGCCACCCCAGGCCGGGCTACATAGGTGCTTTCATTGACCGGGTCTGTGTGCCATTATTTCCCATTTCCTCTTCACACCAGTGGCCCCACCTTAAAGAACACCCTCATGGTCCATTACCACTTTCCCGACATCCATGAGTACTTTAATTTAAATACACATATTTAAAGATTCAAATTTAGCATCCACATAGAAGAGAGAACATACAAAGTTTGTTTTTCTGTATTTAGGTTATTTCCTTCCAAATGATTATTTCCTTCTTCATCCATTTGTCTACAAATTTCTTAATTTCATTATTGTGAACATCTGAATAATATTCCATTATGTAAGTGCACTACACTGTTTATTATGCTTTCATCAGTTGGTGGGCTCTAGGCTATTTCTATTTCCTGGCTATTGTGAAAAGAGTAGCAGTGAGCATAGATGAAATAGTATCTATCTAGTAAGATACAGTTTTTTTTGCTTTATGCCCAAGAGCAGTATAGTTAGATCATTTGGTAGATTTATTTCTAGATTTTTAAGGAAACTTCACACTGATTTCCATATTGCCTGTACCAGTTGGCACTCCCATCAAAAGTGAATAGTGTTCTCCTGTCCCACATCTACAGCAACATTTATTGTCAGTTGTTTTTTGGTGTTTTATATTTTGGTCTTAGTCATTCTGACTGGGGTAAGATGACATCTCAAAGAAGTTTTAATTTGCACTTTCCTGGTAGCAAAGAATGTTGAACATTTAACAGAAAAATTTCTCAATTGCTGGGGGATGTATTTTTGTATGCTGTGAATATGTGTGACTCCCATTGGATAATCAATAAGGCTTCACTGGAGGAGTCAAGTAACCATGGCAATGCCTATTTTCAAGGTTCCTGGTGTAAGACTGAGACCTGAAGTCAGGGACACAGTGCATAGAGTGACAAGCTGCAGAGATCTGCAGAAGGTCAGGTCTTATTAAATAGACTAGCAAGAGAGGAGTTGGCATCATAGCTTAGGTGGCTTTGTGTTAATAACCTTGGTTAGAATTGGCATAGTGTTTTAGTCTGCTTTGTGTTAGCAACCTTGATTAGATGTCTGCAACTCTAACCTTGTGCATCTCTGTAAAGTTTTTAACTTATAATCCATTTACAGAAACATTCAGTCTAGTTTGAAACTGCTCTGAGGTTTTAAATTAGAAAAATGTATGTAGCTTTTCTTAGATTGGAGAGAAATTGTTATTTTCTTATGTTAGTCTGAGTTTAAGGAACAAGGCACAGTTTTAAGTTCTACAGTCCTTGAGGGACAATAGATCTAATTGTGAAGCATATCCTAGTATATTTTTTATAGATCAGAATTATACAGATTAGTGAGAAGTCATCTTCCTGACCATCCATGGATAAATGTGCCCAACAGATGGAATATATACATGAGATAATGCAGTGGGAAAACACCCATAGCTGTTCTTAGGGAAGAAGTGAAATGGCACATGAGAGAAATTACAGATAGGAGCAACTGATTGTTTCCAGTCAGTAACTCCATGACCTTGGCAGGTGGGGCTCCCCATCAGAGAGCATTGTGGTTCCTCCTGATAAATATTAGTTGTCACCTGCTGTATACTCCCATGGCCTCTTGGTACCAGCAGCTCTCAGCACCTCCCCACGACTACCTGTGCATCTCTCTATCTATCTTTTAGATGCCATCTGACTCTCTATGATGACTTTCTGTCAACTAGTTGCTGGCTCTGCCTCCTGAACAAAGGCTGATATGTTTAATTAACTCCAACACAAACTCGGGGTTCATAGTTATATATCCCACGACAGACATGATTGGTGAGAAAACAAAATTTATTTTGAAATGGCTCTTAAGGACTTCACAGGATTTAACTATTACAGTTGGTTGTGGAGAAATACAATACTCTACAAAAGCATAATTTCTGCAAAGAGAACATGTAGTAATCCAAGGTAGTTCTCATGGGAGAATAGTTGAGAGAAAGTGGTAAAGGTCAGCAGTTAGAAGACCATGCCGTCTGCACCTGTCCCCAAGCCTAACACAGTGATGGGCACATACCTGGTGAGTGGTGGACAGTAAAGCAAAATAAAGTTAAAATGTGCATTAAGGACAAATCACTAGTAAACTGCAGTAGCTGTCATCATCCACAAAAGCATTTACTATGATGCAAACAGGTTAAGGCAAGTGATGGGGAGAGCTGAGGAGCCAGGACAGGACAGCGTGTAGAGCTGGCATGGCTTGTCTGTGCAGTGAGTGGGGCATTTATTTAGGGTCACCTTAGAGAACTTTGTTGGCTATCTAGTGGGATTTGTTTGCCTCCTTTGTTGTTTACACAACAGGAAACCCAACCACTCTGTGATCCTGTGACCTGGCAAAGGGCATTAATGAATGTCAGGATCGGGGAGAGGAATGTGGGCATCCTAAGATCAGGCTGCCAGGAGGAAAGTGCCCTCATCTTGGAACACGGGTTCAACCTATATGTCCATCCTCACAGGGTTGTAAGAGCTGTCAAGATGCTGAATAGAGAACTGTTTCCCACATAGTAAATGTGTCTTTATGGAGAAGAGAACCTGCCACAGAACAGGAGGGTGTTGGTTTCATTGTGCCTGATGAAGAAAAGGAAGGGGTGGTCAGCGCAAAACCTTGGGTCACCACGAGATGAATCACAGCTTATATTTACCATGGTGGAGGCTGCAGCCTCGGTGCCTTCTTCATTGACCTCCACAACACTCTCATGAACACACTCAGACATACACAAGTTTCTCTCCAGAGACATTCCTGATAAGTCAGCTTTGCCCCCTTGGAAGACATCCACCATTCCCAAGTGCTGAAACACAGACTTCATGTCATAATCCTCTTGCAGTTTAAATTTTGGAAGTAAAACCTCAGCTCTAGTGCTCCTCATAAAGTCTGGTTTGGTCCAAGACATTAACTTCTCAAAAGTGAGATTGTTTTCCACCTGACAAAGAAGAATTAGAGACTTTCAGATTCACAGTTGAGGTCTTAACTCAGAGGCTCATAGGCACTTCCCACTCACAGTACCCTCCATCAATCTACAGGGGCCACTGAATATTCACATGGCCAGGCAGTGTGAGGGTCCCACCAACCTGCGAGCTTGTATGTGGCTTCACAGATGGGCATGGAAGAGAAGTAGCCGATGGTTGGGAAGACCTGGCTGTCCTCTCCTAAATCATTTCAGAGACATCTTTTATTCTGACAGATGTTGAAGCTCTGATGATTATGGTTTAGGTTGTGTTTGCTTTTGTTTTCTTGATCTAGACTTAGTTTTGAAGATAGTACATAATTGCAGCTGTTTTTAAAAAGTGGAAAAAATAAGGACTTTTGCTGTGAGCCAAACCAGAATGAAGGGCTATCCAGGGTTGGATTCTATGCATTTTGTGGCCTGTTATGGCTTTCATATGAACTTTCTCCCAAAGGCTCATATACTGAAACCTTATTCTGAAGCTGGCAGCAACATTTAGTGAGGCATCTATAATTTAGACATGAGGGGGTCTAGCAGAATGAAGGAAGTAGTTATAGAAGGTGCACCTATGAAGGTCATCCTTGGTCCTTTGTCCCATATCCTTTCTCTGCTTCCTCTTTACTAAAAGGTCTGTAGTCTCTGCCATTATGGAAACCATTGATGGGGACAAGTAACTTGAAATGAACCTTCTGAATCTGTGATCTAACATAAATCCTTCTTATCCTGGGTAATTCATGTCAGTCATTTTGTCAGTGACAAAACACTAACACCATAGATGCCACAGTGAGGAAGCTGGATGGGAAGAGCCAGAGGAGCTATTGTGCTTACAAAGATCCCTTAGGTCATG